TAATTTTAAAGAGACTTTTATGCTTAGTGGCTGTGGACACTTAATTTTTTTAAATATTAACGTTTAAATAAGTATCGCATATGTCACTGCTTGCTCCTAGTCAAGTTACAAGTTCCATCCTATTTCACGGTTCGTTTTTACATTCGTTATTTCTGGATTATGATAATTGCAGGTGTCCCTCGAGGTGAGTCGTATCAATGTAATGTGTGTTTTTTCCACTGCGGCGTAGCACGCAAATGCTATATAAGTATTCTTGAAAACCTATCTATCGGCCCATAGCTTGAGGTGTTCCTCTTTTGCTTAACACACAATTTTATCGTCGGCACAAACACCATCGGTCTGATGTGTGCTCTTTTTTCTGATATAGACCGTTTTAAATTCTCTTTTATCGCTGTTGAATTTAACCATTCTGCTTTACTTTGGTTTCACTTATATAATGAATTTTAGAAGTGTCAGTGTTTGTTTCTCAGTGCTATTTAAAGATATCTTTCATGTAGATGAGGTTATACAACTTGATTTTGCACCGTGGCACTCGTTTGTCATTGAGACTCCGTCCAATGTTGTTGAAAGGGTCTTTTTATAATCCAGTTTTGTCGTGATGATAGCCACTACGGAAATGTGTACAAAATTTAGGTCATTTTCGAATAATAGTCAGCCCCAGGCTGCTTTCAATTTCCTTTCCTTTATTAAAAAAATTGTTTCTTACTCTTAACTCATTTAATAACGCCTTTTTTGTTGTTGTTGCCTCAAACTTATCATTTGGACCATTTTTTAAAAAAAATCCTTGACATATCTTTTTAGAGAGTTGCTTTGGCTGTTACTATAAGAAGTCACTGCTATATTAAGCACGCAAAGGGTTTATGTATCCAGGACCAGGTGTGATGTAATGGCAATGTCTTTTCATACCAATAGTTTTGTCTTGACACCTGATTGAACAGCCCTAAAAGAATTTATTAAAAAGAAAACACTCATTCATAGCCACTTCACAAAAAGCTGCTACATATTTCCAAAAGAATGTTAGCACGGCCTCTGTCTCAATTGGACTACTGTTCACGTGGACGGAGATGTTTAACTTCTATTGACGATGTGGAATTGCTTTCTTCCAACACAAATATATAATATGGTTGTATCAGTATTAGTAGTTTCTTGTTCTTTTTTCGTCTTTTACTGTTTCATCAATATTTCTAACGTATTTCGTTTTGTTGCCATTGCAATGATATGGGTTTTTCGTAGTTTCTGTTCTTTTTTCAACATTGCCATTGTAGCAAAATGGCTTTGTCAATGTCAAAAGTACTACTTTGTATTTCATTTTCGTTATTGTCCAGAAATGGTACAGCCATGTATTCTCTTCTTATTTCTTTTCCTGAACAATTACTACCTTAAATCATGCTTTCTACAATTCACTGATGTCATTCTTTTAAAGGAAATAACAACACAGTCGCAGATTTTCACATGACGTTAGCGATAGAAGTATATGCCCATTGCGATGATCACTATCTGTATGGTTGAGGGTTCAGACCAACAGTCTCTCCATGCATTTGAGCCACTCGTTGGCCGAGAACATATTGGCTTATCACAATTCAGGTGGAACCCCTATTGTCTGTTTATTTCGCTCAAAGCGCTGTTGCGCTCACTTGCTTCTTGCAAAATCCTAGTCAGGGTGACCCACTGCCTCAGCAAGAGACACGTCGACAATGTTCTATACAAAACAAGTGAGAATCCAGATTTTTTTAAAATGATAACAAAGACGCAGCTAATAAAAGTCAAAAACCAAAATGCCGCCGTGGCTGCACTGGCAATGGGCCTATAATCTTCCTAACAGTATTATTTTGTTTCCAAATTGATAGTTTCACATTTATTTGTTTTCTGTTTTCGGTTGATCGGTCTCTTGAGTTTTCTTTTCTCTTCCACAATTATGCACTTGGGCATGGAGTTAATACCTGATTGCAAAATATGGGGCTAGCCATCTCTTCGCGTAAACAAAGTGACAACTCGATGTAACTATCGTAGGAGGTAAAGGAAGTTTCCTGAAATTGCACCGCAGTGGCTTTTGTCACACCAACCTGCCCTGAAGAAACAAAGTCAAAATGTCTTGTATTAAAACAGTTGCACCCTGTACCAAATTCATGTCGAACCAACAACTAACCTTTTTGTGTATCTTATACGTTCAATTCGTATTCCATTTCCTTTATTTTTTCGCACACAACATTCCATGTGAAAAACCACACAAACATTGCATAATAAACTGCTTTGTCTTCCTTTATTATTCTTGATTTCAGTCAGATCTCTAGTTGCTGTAAACACTTTTATAGCAGGTCTCTTTTAAAAGCTGTTTTAGATTATGGTTCAAATTCGACTATTATTAAAACAGAGAAAAATCTTCTTCAATACTAATTATCTTTATATTTTGGACTTTGTAGAACAGATGAAACTGCAAAGACCGCCAAAGGTTTTAGGGTTTAAAAAAAAGAAACTCAATTTGACAAAATTAAGAACAAAAGAGTGAACATATTCTATTCGGTGCAACGAAAATAATTCCTGTATTTTATCACTAAAAGCCCTACTTATGATTACGCAATGTCTCTTCTAGCAAATGTATTACAGATTGGGCACTGTCTTTGGGGAAATTGAAAAATAGTAGTGACATTTGTTCCAACCTTTGCACTGATAAACTATGGTTTAGGTTGCTTGCTGAAGAAAAAGGTTGAATATGTTCGACTAAAATAGAGAACAAATTACGTTATTATTGTGTTTCATTCGCGCATGTTGAGGGCTGCTTTAGTTAGGAACAAGAAGTGCATACTTTTCACCGCAACGAATGAGAATTGTTGTACACTTTTCAACATTATAACAAACATTTATTCCTGCTTTTTCAATAAAGCTGTTTGTTGTTGCGAATTCCAATACATATTCTTCAGCTCTCTCAGAGTGTTATACTTTTTAGCACTAAATACGAGGTAAATTAGTCAGTATAATCCTTCCTCCACCCTCCTCCCTCTTCGTCCTCCTTCTCCTCGTCCTCCTTTCCCCCCTCCTCTTCCACTTCCTCCTCCTCCTCCTCCTCCTCCTCC